GTGACCGGTCAAGCTCATGTCAATACACAGCCGAGGACCTGTTGCTTTGGCTTCTAGAAGCCGATCTTTTGCAATGGCTTTTAGATCTCGCTTACTAAGTTGAGGAGCAGTGCCTGAAACAGAGAAAAGAGAAGGAAAAAACAAATCTTCCAGTTGCTCACCACTGAACGATGTTAAACATACAGGTGAGGCATAAGCCATGATTTTGCCTTTTTTGAAAGGCACTTCTGTGCCTATAAATCAAAATCTCTCCCAAAATATATGTTCCCCAGGCTGCCTACACTTCCTTCCAAGTGAACATTACAAAACATTAGCTGTAGTAGAGAAGCCTGTTTCAGAAAACCTGAGCACCACTCACAGAAAACCTAAGTAAAGTTCCTTGAAATTTCAGAGTAGAGAGAGCAACTATTTTCTATAGAAGATGGACACGGAAATTATACTGTTTCTTGTACCTTTTTGTTCAGCATGCTTTGCTTTACGTCGTTCTCTTTCACATTTTCTTTTATCCTTCTTTGCAGAAACAATCTTCTCCCAGTGTCGTTGTTTCCTTAGAACATTCCTCTTAATATAAAGAAAAATAAACAGACATGTAAGGGAGGAAAAGAAACCATTTGCAAAGTTTTTCTTATTAGAACTAGATGCATATGTGGTGCATATGTGTTTGTATGTGAATATATTCTGTTGTTTAAACTTCCCAAATTTTGCATATGACATCTAATGCAGCTTACACAGTATTCATTTCTCCTCTTTTTCTACTCTCATACACAGAAACTGTTACAAATTGCAGCTATTTTACACAGATAGAAAGGAATACATAATCGTGTGCTGTATTTTTTCCCAGATAACTATTAAAAATGACAGTATAATTAAGAGTTAGTATCTTTTTCTGCTACTAAAAATGATGGGAGTACAGTATTATTTGCTTAGTGCTTTCAGTCAATAGCAAATGTAATGTTTAAATTGCATTTTGGCACACTGCTTGCCTTTCTAAATGCATAAAAGATATTTGTGGAAATCCAGGAAAGATCTGCTGTGGAAGTATTTTTGTAGCAACATTTTTATTAATATGGTTGGCTGACAATCAGCTAGATCAGGGGTGTCCAACCTTGGCAACTTTAAGACTTGTGGACTTCAACGCCCACAAGTCTTAAAGTTGAAGTCCACAAGTCTTAAAGTCCACAAGTCTTGAAGTCCACAAGTCTTAAAGTTGCCAAGGTTGGACACCCCTGATCTAGATGTTTAGATTGGATTTGGCATTTTTTTATCTATCAATTTAGTTCTTGCCAAGGATCTGCTTATTATGATGATGATGGTCACAGAGTCAGCCAGATGTTTATTTATATATTTATTTATTTATTAGAATTTGTCAAACAAAAATGAGAACAAGAATAAAAGAATAAAAATACAATGCAGGGACGATAGGCACGTTAGTGCACTTATGCACGCCCCCTCTACTAACCACTTAAGTATGATGTAACATCATCCATGGAAGTCAATTTGTGACTGAAACTGTGAAAATTTGTAGCTGAAACAACTGAATCAGGTAGCATGTTCCAGACTTTGATAACTCTATTACAGAAATAATATTTTTACAGTCAAGTTTAGAACCATTTACACTGCGTTTAAAGCAGTTGTTTGCATGCGTATTATTGCGATTAAAACAAAAAAGTCATTTATAGGTAAAACATTGTTATGTATAATTTTGTATGCAGTACCTAGATCTGACCACAAGGGATACAGTTCTAAGTTATCCAATCTCAGAATTTCAAGCCTAGTAGCATAAGGAATTCTACTGTGTGCAGAAGAGTGCAAGACTTTTCTCACTGCTGATCCCGCTCAATTGTATTGATGTCAGATATATGGTGGGGATTCCAAACTGTTGAACAATACTCTAAGATTGATCTAGCATAAGTTTTATAAGCTCTAATTAGCAATACAATATTTCCAGGAAAAAAAACAGTGCAAAATTAAATTTACAACTCTTAATGCTTTTTAAGCTTGGATTTAGTTTAGATTGGATTTGGAATTTTTATGCATCAATTTAGCTGTTCCCAAGGCCCTGTTTATTATTATGATTGGCCACACAGTCAGCCAGATGTTTAGACTAGATTTGGCATTTTTATCCCTCTTTTGAGTCTTCCTTGCCTGAGGGTGTTAAAGATATCGTCGCAGGATGTAAATTGTCCAAATGAAGCTGCCTTTTGCAATTGACCTACAGTGATTTTGTCAATGCTGATTGTGTTCAAGTGGTCCTCCGGTTATTATTGTTAAAGGATCTTTAGGCCACTGGTACAGAGAAAGGCTCAGCTGATGTCAACATGACAACTTTTTGGCACCAGCTTAAAACTTTTCCATTGAGCCAGACATTTGAGAACAAATCTGTTTTGGTTCTTGTTTGAATGTGTTTTGTATTGCTTAAATAGTCATTGTAATGTATTATGGTAATTTCCCATTTTCTTCCTATTATAGTGATATCTTTTAGCTAAAGAGCAATAATGAGCTATTTCAAAATATATAAACTAAAGGGAAACTGAAGTAAACAAAACATTTATTGCTACCTACAAACCGGGAAAGTGGGGATAAAAAGAGTATTCATTCACAATGTGTGAGTACCTACCTTACATATCTACAAGTATGCCTTTAAACAAAGCCATTGCTATAAGACTTTTAGGCCCTTCCTCAATGTAAAATATGATCCCTGTGAAACACTGAGATTCACAATAGAAGAGAATTCTTTATTGGCCAAGTGTGATTGGACACACAAGGAATTTGTCTTGGTGTAAATACTTTCAGTGTACAAGATACATTCGTCAAGAGTCAAGAATCACAAGGTGCAACACTTAATGATAGTCATAGGGTACAATAACATGAAACCACATTAAAATTGCCCAGATTTGTTTACATACCGAACACCAATTCTCATTTCCTGTAACCTGTTCACTGGATCTTTCATCGTTCCCATCAATTTCCAGAAGCTCAAATGCATCCCAGAGATCTTCCCCATATCCATCTCTGTATTGATCACAACCTCCACAGATGCTTTTCTCTGCTTTCTTCTCAGGATTAGTCATGGGGGGGGGGGGGAGTTGTCCAAACTGCTGTGAAAGCATAGGAAAAAATGACGTTAAATGCTGGGCCATAGAATTGAATTGGCAGAAGTGAAAACTGCTCTCATTCTAAAGCAGGATAGTTTTATTCTGTACTGACTGCAGCTTCTGTCTACTTTTCAAAAGAGCCTCAAGTAAGCATGTTATAGTAATCCAACATTGAAACACGAAAAGTATATAACTCAGTGTATTCACCCTTTATTCAGAAAAGGGGAAAGGGTGTGAACCAGTCTTAACGGGTGCTGATTAATAGCACGGAAAGGGAAGAATAATGCATTGCCAATTCCAGATATGTAAAAGAAGACGCACTGGTATTCCAACGTTGCCTGAGAATTTCAGACTCATGCAATTCCTCCTGCCATATAAGGTCTTAAAGGCATGTCTTCTACTTAACACTTCGTTGCACAAATAAAATCAGTGTGTAGTTTCCCCCCCCACCCCCCAAAAAAAGATAAGCAAAATGTGCTTTACAGATAACTTCTTAAGTACTTTTAAGAGTCATGAATTATTTTTCAGACTAACCGTCTGTTACTCACCTCCCTCTAATAGCAATTTCTCAATTAGCCTTTCTTTTACTCTTCCGGACACTTTTTGATTCAATTACGAAAAATTCGCTCCACGCCGAGCTATTTCCTTCATCTATCTATCTATAAGGCATCATCCAATGAGACTTCCCTCTACCGGGAACCAGCTGCATTCTGGGAATGGTAGTTTTCATCGTGGGCGACGGGACAGGATTATCTGATTCAAGATTGGGCGGATGGGAGCGTGCGTTGCTTTGATTTGGAGACCACGGGGGAGGAGTGTGAATTTGATTCGCTGGCCATCCGTTCTGAAATGCCATCCTGAGTTGGATTTCTACAGGGAAAGCAAAAATACTCTTTTCCATTCCGAAGCCTATTCGCAAGTTTATTGTTTTTCGGGCCAGTTTTGATTTCTTTTTATCTTTTTCTTTAAAAAAATTCATTATAAGTCGCTCAGTAATTAGAAACCAGGCGATCTATCTGTGATGTGATTGCCATTTCATGTATGCATCAACCATGCTTTACCTCACCTATACCCTACAGAGGAGCAGAAATATATTAATCACACATTCTGAGTGCACATATTTATTTTATTGATTGATTTGATTTGTGAATCGCTTACAAGATAATAGGTGTAAAAATAAACATGAGTATGAATACAGGAAATAGATACGAATAAATGGGACAGTAGGCACACGCCCCTTAATTCACTGCATAATTCGCTCAGGTGAATAAAGATTCACACAATTGCAGCGTTCACATAATATGCTAGGTCTCTCCTCTAAGATTGAAGCCTAACCCGACAAACTGCCACCTGCATGCTAGTAAACCATAGATTAGGATAGTCCGACTCTTTCCAGAGGTTTTGTGCTTCCTTACAGATCTAGATACGCTATTACCTTCAATTTGTAACTCCCCACGTTGTTCTGTCTTCATCTCACATAAAACATCTAAAACTGCCGCTATCAAAACACATGATGCACCCACAATAAATTTAGACCCCCCCCCCCTTTAGTGGATATTTTCTGGGGAAGAATATGTATGTGTATACACACACACACACACAGGTGCATGCGGCTAGAAACACTCATAAACCGCTTTTGGAAAATAACTTAAAAGGTGTTCCAGATGGGAAAACAGCAGCGTGGCTTTTGATCTGAAAGCCGCTTTCTGAAACCCTACGGTCACTTACAAAGAGAAAAAATCCGATTATTAAGCGAAGCTGGAAAAGTGAGAGGCTTGCTCCGATTTCCATCCATTGCATAACTTTCCCTCTGGTCTTTTCTTGCCATTGGTTACAAGCCTGCCACTTCCCCCTTTCTGTTGCAATTGATTTGCTCCTGGTGATTTTCTTCTTCTTCTCTTTACGATTAGAAAAGGGGGAGGATTGGTAGACCCGGTTTCTTCCGATCCGAGACTAGAAACCTGAAAGTCCCAAACTTCTGTTCTTGCTCTTTCTTTGGGAAACACCATAATGAAGCCGCTTCTCTGCAGCCTCCTGCAGCTCTGGCCTCGAGGATCTGTTTCGGTGAGTGTTACCCTCCTCCATTTAGCCACTTCTGCAGGACTTGATCATCTCCAGTTAGTTTTTCTTGTCCCCCCCCCCGCCCCCCAATTGTCCCGTTTGCTTCAGTTCTCTTATACTTCTCTTCCCAAACTTCCTTCCAGATATGCGGTGCAATCTTTGGGGGAAATCTTTCGAGGCAGAAAAAAACATCTGTTTTTGCAACTTGGATTCTTTTTGCAAGGCGGCGTTTCTCAACCTTGTCCGCTTTGAAGATGTGGGAACTTCAACCCCCAGAGTTCCCCAGGGACTGAGGAACTGTGGGAGTTGAAGTCCACACATCTTAAAAGTAGCTGAGGTTGAGAAACCCAGTATTAAAGGGTCCAACTATGCTGTAAAAGGGCAGCGGTGGGTACAAAATTGTGCCGGGCAGAAGACCTATTTTGACTTGGAGAATGCAACTGCGATTCAGAAAAGGAATCTAAGATGGGAATGGCAAAAAAACAGGAGCTGGGGGATTAGCTTTCTTGGGCTGGGTGCTTTTGGCTGGGAATTTAAAACAGCAACAGGTAGACACCATTCTCTTCTAATTTTCAGTTAAGGCCCACAAGCCACCTCAGACTCTCAGAGAGTGGGGGCAATGAGGCTATAGGGACAGGCAGCAGGAGGTTTTTCCTATTGGTTTCAGCTTGAGAAAGAGGTCTTGGATTACCCCAGGTGATGTCTTCATTCTGGATGAGAGGTCATTCAGAATAATTCAGGGCAAAATTCAGAACATAACTGCGTTAAACAAATTGTACCTAGCAGTTGTTGAAACTGGGTGAACTGCTTGCATTGGTGCATGCATAAGCGCACCAATCGTGCCTACCATCACTGTCCTATTGTTTCTTTTTTATTTTTCTTATAAGTCTATCTCGTGAATTCAAAACTATGTTTATTCTTATACCTGTATCTTGTAAGCGATTGACAAATCAAATAAATACTAAAAAAAATACTAAAAACTGTTTATTGGGAAACGTGAGTGTTGCAAGAGGTGACTGCATTTTGCAAGTACTGTAGGTGTGACTCTAGCTCAGTGGTCACCAATCAGTGGGACCGGGGACCACTGGTCGTCCACAAGAAAATTTTGGTGGTCTGCAGAGAAATGTCACCCCCAAAGCAATTAATCCAGGCTGCGCAAGAACACAAGGCTGCACTGCCCACATGGCCCATGGGAAAACAAGGCTTGCATCGCTTGCATTGCGAACAACACGAGGTAGTGAGGGGAGAGGGGGGAAGAGCAGAGGGGGGGAACTTGCTCCACTCGCCCCATTTTTTCTTCTGCTTTTGCAAGGAAAAAGGAAAGCCGCAGAAGTCTTTCTTTCTCTCTCCCAAACTCCATCAGAAATGAGTCTTTGGGACCTTGCAAGGCATCCTCTGCGCCAAGAGGCTGTGCCGGCATGACAAGTCTCTCAAAGACTCATTTCTGGTGGAGTTTGGAGAGAGAAAGAAAGACTTCTGCTGCTTACCTTGCATTAAGCCAAAAATCTCTTCTCCCCACCACCAGAACGGAGCTGGAGACAGTATCCTGCAATCCCAAATAATGATCGATTGGTAGGAAAACAGGGTGGGGAAGTTTACTGCAGACTTTTGGGGGGATTTTCCTAGGGTCTCTGGTCCACAGGATTTAAAATTATGAGTTTGGTGGTCCCTGAGGTCCAAAAGGTTGGTGACCACTGCTCTAGCTCATCTTCCCTATTGCATTTTTTTCTTTGGAAAAGTTGGATTTGAGTGAGAGTGTCCGGGAGGTTATTAAAATTGTGAAAGCAGATAATTAAAAGTGCCTGCAGACTGATAAAAATGTATATGTGAACATTCATTGAGTTCAAAACTCAAAATGTTTAAATAGTTTTTGTGTGAATTTAAATATATAATTCAATAAAGCATGCCAATTTAAGACTTTGCAAAATTGCACCACTTAAATGTTCTGATATTGTCTGAATATATACCTGTTTGCAGATTCAGGACTATGATCAGAGTGTATCAATATCATCTGAGAGTTGGATACTTTTACGTTATTTATATTAAGATTGTGAGGAATGGGGAAGGCTACAGGGACAATTTTAGTTATAAGAGAGTTTGCATAACTAAGACTCCACCAATTTAACCTTTTAACAGGAAGGATTTGGACACTATTTTTTCTGTGTGCCTGAATTATGTTCACTGCAGGTTTTATTCTGATCCATAGTCTACCATTTTTCTTTTCCATTTGACCTAAAAGGAATCTTCAATGTTTGTTAGCCTAATATCACAAATATCAGCTTCTTTAGCAAAAAGCAGGTACAGCTCTTATGCAATAACTCACTAACTAAAAAAAAAATTTCCCCAAGGTATTTTTTAACCGTTTAAAAAAGAATTTTTTATTTATATTTTTTCTTTGTCTATGTATTTTTATTTATGTGTGGGATGGGTTAGGTGTCACCATTTTAAAAGCAATTTTAAAAAATATGTCTGGTCTGCCAGGTGCCCAAATTTGATGACATGACCACAGGAGCACTGCAAGGACCAGTCAAAACTACCATTGTTCAGCACTGTTGCAACTTAGAATGGTCATTAAATGGGGAGTAACTGTAGTTGCAGTTCTCTAAACCTATGTGTTCATTCATCTTTGCTGCTACTTCTTGGAGGCAAGTCATTATAATCATTTTAAATCCAACAAACTCACGAATCTCTTAAGTCCTGTTATACAGTGCCTAGATAACATTGCACAACAGACAGTAAAACCTATTTGAAGCCTATGAAAATCAAATTTTTCTGGGAGAAAAGGACTTTACTGACAGGGTGGGGTGAGTTGAGTTTGCTTTCTGCCTTTTTTTATAAATGATTCAAAGTTAGTAAATGTTTTGTAACTTATTTTTCCCAGTTCTTCAAGCAAATTTGTCATTGGTGAGAATTCATCCCATTGAACAAGGTAGTGTGGATAACTATAAACATTACCTGCAGCAGTGCCAGTTATACAGAGTTTCAAGCCATAAATAATGCAGTTCCAATTTCACAAAATTTGGGGAGCACTGATAAACTATATGCCATATGTACTTTATTAAATGCAATACTGTATTCTATATTTCTGTATTGTAGCTTCTGCCACGAACCATGCCAGAGAGATATGGGGGGAAACACCTAAGTGTAACCTCGAATCATGCATACCATACAGAAGGAGAAAACACCAAGCCAACTGAGCGGTATCCAATGCCCAATAAAAAAGACCTACCACATGATATAATTGAACACCTGGAAGAAGCAAAAGCAACGGTAAAAATCAGCTGGGGGAAAAAAAATCAGTTCGTAGAATTGTGTAGTATCTTTATGAACCTTCAACCTAAGTGTTCTTCCTATACACCTGATTAGAGTTTGATCATTATCAGATTAAAGAGACCTTAATGGACAACAGGTTTCTAACTCTACATGTGAATCTAACGATTAAAGATGAGGATTTGATATGCTATCTAATACATGTTTCTTATTCAGCTGAGTTATGCCCTGAGGTTTAAAATAGGCTGTGGTTAGATGAGAAATAAGATCAGAAAGAAAATAGTTTTGTTTAGCCCTTTTCTGTTCTTGTAGAATCTAGGCTAGTTGCTGCCTTTCACAGCATAGTTGAAAAGGGACATGACAATGAATGGCTTCATCAGGTGCTATTTATTTGTTGTCATTCAGATATTGTAGCCCCATTAGGCCACCAAGCCAGAAGAAGCACATCAGTCCTGTATCTTCAGAAACCTTCTATAAACCTCAACATCTGGTAACAGAAAACTCCCAAGATGAAGGAGCACCAGCTGAGCTTCAATTCTCTTAAGTTATTTTTCAGGCTTATTGTTTTGAATCAAAGAATATTTGCCAGAACTTATAAAACTGCCTTAAAACAGATCAGATCAGCTTATTTGTCCACATAGCCCAATATTATTTAACTGGCATTTACTTTACATCCTTCCCCTGAGAAATAGTTTTTTTCTGCTTAAAAAGCCTCAGTTGTAAAGCTCAAGTCCTTTTTGCTAGGATGCCTCACAAAGAGAGAATTGAGATCACTCAGCAGTATCCTTATATTGGAACCTCAGCACATTGTTTCAAAGATTTTACAAATATTCTCAGGACTTATTTAGCGTCTGCTAGAATGCAGGATCCATCTCTGATTTCTCTCGCTTAAACCTTTTCCTCACTTAATCATCATGTGTGCAAACTGAGAATCCAGAAGAATTAGGAGGGAATGTTATTAGCACCAGCTAAGTTGTTGTCTTCCTTCAATGGCTTGGGAGGTAGCTGTCTCAAAATGAAAACTCACCCTGCTATTTTTTAGAGGAGAGCTATCGGAACAACAAATCTGAGAACATTATAGTTCATGAAATACTAGTCCCAACAGAATGTTTTGATAGTAAATGGGTAGAATAATTCTGGACTCCTGAATATTTCCCTGAATAGTCTTGAATGTGATTTTTTTTATAAATATAGTTTATTAATTTTTAAAATTAAAACCAATCACAATACATACACAAATAAGCAAAAGAAAAAAAAGAAAAGAGGAGAGAAGGAGAGGGAAAGAATTTTGAGAAAAGAAAGAAAAAGAAAGGGGGAAGAAAGAAAGAGGTTACAAAGTAAAAAGTATTCTTATTTTAACAGTTTGCAAGATCTTCTTTCGTTTTCATAACCTTAACTTGTGTCATATAACCACACCTGTTTTTAACTTATATCGCTACCTTGTTATTATAGGTTGATACTTTTCTTTCATGCCTTATGATATATAATTTATCTTTGATCAATCCAATTATACCAACAATTCCAGCTATCGTAGTATAGTGAAGTGTCTTTGTTTTTTAGCGCCAAAGTCAATTTATCCATTTCTGCACATTTTGAGATTTTTTTCAATAATCATTTCTTCTGATGGAATTTGATGTTGTTTCCACTGTTGAGCGAAGGCTAATCTGGCCACTGTTAAAATGTGTATTGTTATGTATTTGGCTTTTTTGGAGATTTGCTTATCAAAAATCCCTAGTAGGAAGGACTCTGGTTTGTATTCGATCTGCTCTTTAGTGATTTCTTCCAACCAAGTTTTAATTTTCTTCCAATACTTTTGGGTTTCTGCATAAGACCACCACATATGGAAAAAGGTTCCTTCTTTTTTCCTACATTTCCAGCAATGCGGACTCATGTTGGGGTGATCTTCGCTAACTTTGAAGCGGGGAGATGCCATCTATAAAACATTTTATAAAGATTTTCCTTGTATGCTGCCGATTTGGTAATCTTATTGTTTCTGCCCCAAACTTTCTCCCATTCCGCTAATGTGATGCTGCGCCCTATGTTCTTACTCCAATCAATCATATTTCCTTTTACAATTTCTTCTTCTAGTTCTGTTTCTAATAAGTAGTTATAAACTTTTGTTATATTTTTTTTATTGGATCCTAATAAAATTTTATCTAATTGTTGCAATTTGTTATTAATTCTGAATTCTTTTTTGTCTTGTTTGTATCTGCTTTGAATCTGGAGGTAAACCCATTGATCAATTTTATGTCCTTGCTCCTGAAGATCCGGCCTCGGTTTCAGATTTCCTTGTGGGTCTAATAAGTCTTTGTATTTAATCATTTTGGTAAGCTCCAAATTGTTTGGGTGAATCATTGCCTCCATTGTTGAAATCCATACTGGTACTTTTGTATAATGTTTTTTCCTTATTTTCCTCCAAATTGTTAAAAGTGCATCTCTAATTAAATGTCTATGGAAATATTTTTGATTGGTTTTCCCTACATCCCATAGAAAGGTGTGCCACCCCCTTTGTAAATCGTGGCCTTCTAGAAATAGTATTTTTTTATTGGTTAAATTCACCTGAATAGTCTTGAATGTGATTTTAAGGTATCTGACTATTTTCCCCTCCTTGATTCTCAGAATGGATTTTTGCCCAATGTGTTTAAAGTGATGGCTAATCGACCGGAAGAATTCAGGGTATTCTTTGCCTATCATGATGTCATCATGCACAAGAAAACAGGTATGAATAGCAGTCAAACATGGATGTTTTGAAGATATTTTTCTAAGCCAATTGCACTAGATTGCATTCCAGATGTGTTCCTAGAATATAGGTGTAATTCAAGAACCATTGAACCAAAGAAAGTTAGAGCCAACAGACTATTAAACTACGGTGATATCAGAAAGCTTTAAAATCATCTTAAGGTGATGCAGTAGGGCTCTAATTCAAAAGCAATTAACTTCATAGGATACTTCAGTAGGGAGCTAGCTCTGAACTACTGAATGCAGTTTTCCATGTTCTTTATCTGAATGCTAGAACCTACTAAGACTGCTGATGGCCTTTTTGAGACTATTGTGAAGCTAAGAAGGGATTTTATGAAATTCACAATACTTGTCACTTGTCAAAGTAAGGCACTTTTCACCATAAAGGCTACAACTTAGAATGTGAAATTGGTTTTCTCTGGCAGTAGAAGTGGCTGCGGCAGAAATCCTTTACCATCTCATTCCTGTATAAAAGGCATGTCTTTTCTTGGCTTAAATGAATCACTTCCATGAACAACAATGCAACAGGATTTGATTTTAGAATCCTGAAAAATGGCTATAATCTGACAAAGAAGATAGTCACTTTTCAATACGTTTTTTATTTTCCAATAATGACCAAATGGTCAACAATAATTAATAATCTGATTAGATTTTGGGACATTAAAACAGGTCTAAAAGGATAGATGTATGACACTGTTATATCTTTTAGCATCATCAGTTTGTTTCTGATTTTTATCTTGGTTATAGAATGTCAGATAAGTGTCAAACCTATGCATAAAAATTGTTGCCTTCTTCCCCTAAAAAAAAGGCTGTTGTTGCTTCTCTTAAAATTTGGTCATTTGCCTAATGCTGAGAATGCAGTTCTATTCTTGCTTGATTATACTTGACTTAACTGTCTGTTGATAATGACTGTCCACATTGACTTATGATTTCTGGGAAATGAGTGAATCCTGTTGTGCTTTTGACTCTGTAATGTGTATTTGTACAGTACACTTTGTGGCAAGTGAGGCTTCTTTCAGGATTTAAAGAATATATTTATTTGTCAAGCAAGTATTAGATAACAGGTATAAGTTTAAGCATGGTTATGAAAGCATGAAATGGATACGAATAAAAAAGAAACAATAGGACAGGGACGGTAGGCATGTTGGTGCACTTATGCATACCCCCTACAGACCTCTTAGGAAAGGACCTCTTAGTCAATAGTGGACAGTCTAAGGTTAAAGTTTTTGGGGAAGAAACCAGAGTCAGGTAGTGTATTCCAGACATTAACCACTCTGCTGCTAAAGTCGTATTTCTTGCAATCAAGTTTGGTGTGGTTAACCTTGAGTTAGTTAGTATCTATTGTGTGCTCTTGTATTGTTGTGGTTGAAGCTGAAGTATTCATTGACAGGTAGATAATTTTATGTACTATATTTAGATCGGATTGAAGGCGGCATAATTCTAGGTTGGCTAGGTCTAAAATTTCAAGTCTGGTGGCATAAGGTATTCTGCTATGAGTAGAGGAGTGGAGAACTCTTCTTGTGAAAAATTTCTGGACTTTCTCGACTGTATTAATATTCATTATGTAATGCGGATTCCAGACTGATAAGCTTTATTCAAGTATTGGTCTAAGCAAATGTTTTGTATGCTCTAGTTAGTAGTGTGATATTACCAGAGAAAAAGCTACGCAGAATTAGGTTAACAACTCTTAATGCCTTTTTGGCTATGTAGTTACAGTGGGGTCTAGCACGTAGATCGTTAGAGATGAGTACTCCAAGGTCCTTGACATAGTTGCGGTCATCAACAAGGTCTTGATTATTCAGCTTGTATTTTATTTTCTGATTTTTTTTTACCGATATGTAAGACAGAGCATTTGTTTGTTGAGATTTGAAGTTGCCATTTGTTTGACCATTCTGACACATAGTTGAGGTCATTTTGAAGGGTAGCAGCATTGTCAATGGTGTTGAATAGCTTTACATCATCAGCAAACAGAATGCAGTTGCTCTTAATATGATCACAGAGGTCATTTATGTAAAGTATAAAGAGAGTTGGTCTTAGAACACTGCTAGGGGGACACCACTGTTGACAGGTACAGGATTTGATAGGGTGTTCCCTATTTTGACCATTTGTTGCCTGTTTGACAGGAATGCATCTATCCAGTAATGCAGTTATCCCAGAAGATGGCAGATAGTAGTATATAATTATTTTAAAAAAATACCTTATTTTTGCTCCTACTGGCATAATAAAACATTAACAGGTTTTTAAAAAGCTGATATTGTATAACTACATGGTATTAGGGGATACCCATCAGCTTCAGTGGTGGTATGCTACTGGTTGAACCGGTCAAAAAAAGCCTCGACGATCAGCTGAGAGGAGAAAGAAGAGAAAAGCACAGGATTACCCTCCCATCCCGCTTGCGCTTTTCTCTTCTTTATCCACTCAGCTGATTGGCCCTGCAGGCCTCAGCTGGTGTGGGGAAAGCTGTGTGTGTGTGTTAGGGGTGTGCACATGTGTGCACGAACCAGTAGTGGAACAGGTAGGATCCCACTGGCGAATCTGCCCTGAGATTACTCACCTTTTACAACTCTCTTCCTCCACAGGAAAGCTAAGTATGGCTGACAAAGAGCTCATTGCTGTGACTGTGAGTACTGTAAACCGCACTCTCTACTGTGTAACTGTACATAGTGCCTCACATCGGAGGTACTCCAAGAAACCAACTTTAGCAGATCAGGTCAGTCCCCATAACTGCCTTGTTTGTCTCTCTCTTTTCCTTCATGAGAATCTAGTTGTATGAAAATATCTGTAAAATTAAGAGAAATGAATAAAAGAAATTGGTTTGTTTGCTTGCTTGGTTTGTTTGTTTGTAGGCTGTCCAAATCCAAAGAGACTCTGGGCAGCAAACAGTTTCACTATGCATGCATTTATTGCCTGCCCAACTCCGTAATGTATGAATCTTAGAAGTGCACATCAATAAAAAGCAGAGCACCAAAAATGGATAAAAATAAAGATAAAACCAAGATAACGAACCAGTCATATCGATGCACATAATTGAGGTGGGCATAACAAACATTCAGTCTCCTAGCAGGAAAGTGTGTCAACTTACATGAAAGCTCATTGCCCAACAGAAGAGCCACATCTTAATTGCGCTAGGAAAGGTTAATAGAATTGGGGCTGCCAACTATCCAAAGATAGATACAGCAGCAGAGAAGATACTTCTTCCAGCTCCCACACTGCCCCAGAGACAAGACCTGGAGCATGCTTATCCTGTGTAATCTAGTAGGATAGGCAGAAATAACCATGCAGCCCTGCTAATAACCCTGCCTTGTGTCATGTAGGGCAGGGGTCTCCACCCTTGGCAACTTTGAGACTTGTGGACTTCAACTCCCAGAATTCCTCAGCCAGTATGGCTAGCTGAGGAATTCTAGGGGTTGAAGTCCACAAATCTTAAAGTTGCCCGAAGTTAGAGACCTCTGATGTAGGGCTTTATAGGTGATAATGTGAACTGCATCCAGAAGCCTATTTGAAACCAATACAGCTTGTGAAATTATGATGCTACGTGAGTGTAGAATTATGCCCAATGTTACCCATTTGCTGCAGTCTGGACCTATTACAGCTTTCAGATGGACTTCAAGAGCAGCGTCATATAGATCTCATTGCAGAAATCTAGACAGGAAGTGACTAGGGTGGATTTCTTGTATTTATATACAATAAGTTCAAAAAAAGCAGAAGAAACAAGTTGTACAAAAAGAAGCTTGCTCTAAATTCAGATGTTCCGTAATTTTAAAAGATAGCACCTTAAAAGAAAGAGGGAAAGTTTATTGAAGAAAACAAAATAAAAAATGTTATGCCCTTTGCTTTTCTATAGGTGGCTGTGAATTGGAAACTGGCTGATCTAAGTGATCGGGAAGTGGCCATGCTTGAGTTTGCCCTTGCTGTCTGCAGAGCAGATAATATAACAGAAGAGCACTTTCAAAAACTGGAGGCACATGGATTTGACCGAGAAGATGCCTGGGACATAGGCTCCATTTCAGCCTTTTTTGCCATGGCAAATCGCATAGCTCTCTTCACAGATATGCGTCCCAACCCGGAATACTATAACATGAATAGAGAAGAGGGCAAGGTCCAATCTTCCAAATAAAGTTTGCTGGTATGTACAAGACTATTCGCTCCTCGGTGCTATGGCTAAGTCTGACTAATGGGCAACACTACTTTCTATTACAAGCAATACTGTACTTTCAAACAGTTTTTTTATTTGGCTGATGTAGCACGTCTTGCTTACTTTCATGCACTTAAATATTTTCTACTCATGAGAGAATCGAATTCTAAAAAATAGGGCTGATTTTATTTTTATCTTATAATATTGAAACCTAACTTAAACAATCCTTTCGTATCTCTGAGCTTTTCTGAGCAGTGGTATTTTGATCAGAAACATTGATTTTGGGTTCAGACTGCAATTTGGGGAGTAACATCATCTTAACTGCTGTTATATAGTTACACTGATCAGAATACATAATTCTGTCTGTAACTGATTTGAGATGATTAGTCAATAATTTTGACTATAGTCTGTGTTTAATAATGGAGACATTTAGTACAAAAAGGTACTATGCGATTTTACCAGGCTTTAAAATGTGTAATTTTAGATTTTTGTCATGAATCAGGAATATTCTTACCTTGATGTTATAAATTACATACCATAAAACTTCTGTAATTCAAATATATTTGAATGTTTATGGTAATCCTTGATAAAACTCTAAGCCAGGAGAGTTCCCATTAATCACTTAACGACAGCCTTGGTTACCAATGGAATTTTTGGATTCGACTGTGATTGTAAGTCAAGGGCTATCTATGGGTATATAATTTTTCAAAGATCTTGAATAATAAGTGCTATTATTGGTATTTTAAGTAATTGAATATATTGATTTCATACATCACTTATCTTTCTAAATTTATTTCCTAATAAAGTTCAGAATCATATTTTTGCTTTCAATTTAGAAGTGGTATTCAAATTTTGTTTTAAGTCGCATGTTTTTTCAGTTGTGGGTGTTTATACACCTTTGAGGGACTTATTTTTTTATAGTTTGCTTATGAATCTTTCTAGATTTATTTTTCTTAATTTTTTTTTCTTTTTAATTATATTCCTTTAACACAGAGGTCTCCAATTGACAAGTTTGGGGACCCCTGCTCTAACACATTGTTCCCCACACAATGAATAAGTAATAAATGCTAATAAATTCTATCATAATTTGTTTTCCATAATTTGTTTCTTCCCTCCTTCTAAAGAATGACTTATCTCATGTACATATAGCTTAATCCTATATCAGATATTTTAATATTCTACTAGATCTTTTACTTAGTCATTCTAAAAAGTACTTATCAATAACATTACATTTTTTAAATATACAGTCTTCTTTCATTTGTGATCATTTCCAGTTTGGCCAAATATCCAAGTTTGTTCCTTGAGTTTGCACCAGAGGGAGCCTTTTTCAAGTTTGCTTTTATTTCTATCTTGAATAATATAAATTGTTTCTTTTCCATATGGTTGCAATATTATAAGTTTAAATGAACACCTTCACTTCTATCAAATATTTTCCATCCTTCAGAAAAAGCCTTAAATGTAATCCTTTTCTATAAGATAGTTTGTCTGTTTCAATAAACCAAACTCTGTCTCCTTTTTACTTTTTCCTTCTGTGTGCAAGCTTCCTGGATAATGTTATAAACTGTAGTGAAGTAGCCCCAAGCAATTTAACCATTCATGGATAATTAAAAATGGACAGTGATAAATAATCAAAATGGATACTGGTGTGTGTGTGTTTGTGTGTGTTTGTGTGTGTGTTACAGATATATATGTATATAGCATGTGTATATGTGTATTATGTATGTGTTTGGGTAACAGATAATCAGAGTTGGAAAGGACCTTATAGGCAGGAGACCCTACACCATTTCTGACAAATGGCAGTCCAATCTCTTCTTGAAAGTCTCAAGTGATGGAGCTCCCATAACTTCAGAGGGCAAGCTGTTCCATTGGTTGATAATCTCCATACCTTGGTAAATTTAAAGTAAAATAAAGCAATGAATACTAAAGAAAAATAGTGATCTGAGTGAGGATATACTGTCCTTAGGTGCTTATTCCAACAATTCACTCTTTATGAAGATTTCAGTCATCCAGATTATGATTGTCTAAAAGGCGCGTTTTCAAAAGGCAGTTGGACTTCCGTTTTTTCATTGAGGAAGACATTTCGCTCCTCATCCATGGAGCTCCTTCAGTTCTTAATTCAGTCAGAACTGAAAAAGCTCCTTGGATGAGAAAGGAAACTCTTCCCGAAGGGAAAAAAACAAAAACAAAAGTCCAGCTGCCTTTTGAAAAAGAGCCTTTGAGTTCGCTCTTTATTTCCTCTTTTCAAGCAACGCATTTACCAGCCCGGAACAGCATTACAGAAACATCAGAAGCACAATGATTACGCTCTTTACATAAAACATGCCAAGCGAGAACCACATGGATGTCCGAAACATATACTTAATACGAGTAAATCCCTAATCTTGAAAACGGTTAACGGTGAATTTCCAGGCAGATTTATTCGCTCTTTATATAGCGACCCAATTAAGGCAGCCGTGGACCAAGTCCTCCCATCTCCAAATCTCCAGTTGTGTTGTCTCTTCTCAATTGAAAATTAATTCCTCCTCCATCCCTGCCTGCCTCGTACAGTGGTAACTTTTACTACTTCTCCGGCTTCGCTACCTCCCATCGACCGATCTCGTTTCTGGCCACGCCACGCTTAAGAGAAAGGCCGCGCCACCCCCGAGACCTTGGCTTTGAGAGGCCTGTTGGCAATGATATCATAAAGGAGGCGGGTTTGGGGAGACAGTGTCGGGCATGCGTGCTTCTTTTCGCCTCTAAGACCCACCGAAGGCTGGTGTTTCGGATTGCTCGGTTCTGTTTTCCCCAAGGGCATCATGATTAAGCGTTTTCTCCTCTCCGGTTTCCTTCAGCTCCACCGCCGCAGTGGCGGCTCCGTTTCGGTGAGTAGCATTCTCTCAGCCGCCGCCCGCCTCCCATCCCCGCTTTCCCGCAATCCCGTAATATTTCCATCCTCCTCGCCTAGAAACCAAGGCTGTGTCGAGGGGTTTCCTGGACCGGCGCTTTTTGGACCTAATTCAACAGGGGGCGCTTTCGGCCAGGGAAGCCACGGGAGATGATGGGGTTCAGCTCTTTTATATTTATATTATACCGTTGGTGTAGTAGGTAAGATTGAGGAAGCTAGAGGGAAATTGGCAGCTAACAGACTTTCTGTAAATGTGCCCAATGATTAAGTCAAATGAACTCTGGAACTCTTTATTGTGAAATGCCCGTTGCAGGGTTCTCTCTCCTGTTTGGAGAAAAGCACAATCTTGTTTATTAGAATCCTTTCCCAATAGCTTTTTTCCCCCTTGTGTCCTTCAGAAAGTGTAAAATTTACTGAGAATGAAGGGGGGCATTAATTCACCAAAGCAAGGGAAATAAAGAAACAATTGGTTTCTGACAGAAATGTTGAGGAGGGGAAAAAAAAGAAGAGATGCACCAGCTCATTGCATATAGCTGCTTTCCTATCTCTCTTTCCTTCCTTTCCTCCTGCTCTCCTTACATACATACATACATACATACATACATACATACATACATACAGCTCATCTCACTATCCAAAGTGAGATATTTCCCCATTTACTTAGTGTCATCATAGCATCATCCTAACCATCAGTGAAATAATATAAAGCTGTTAGTTACTGTTGTTTTTGCACAACTTTAGAAGACTTTATGAATCCCTTGTGAGAAAGTGACATAGTGAATCTCACTGCTTTCTAATTTCATCTTACCTTTATGTCAAAAAAACCCAACTCTCTCCATTCAGAATTTAAACTTCTCTGAAAAAAATGAGTTTCAACAGTTACTTCACTTTATTTTTTAGAAAGTTCCAAAAGTGGGAGATATTTGGCCATGTTTCTGTTTTGTAGCCCTTCTGCTTGCTTTCTCCTCACATACTCCTAACCAGAGTTGCTCCAACAGTAAGATGGGTGGCATATAAATTTAATAAAGAGATAAAATATTATATTCTAAACAGAAGAAAATCTAAGCCTGAATTGTTATAGCGGAAGATTAGGTTATCCCAAACAATATCAAGCATTCATTTTGAACATTCATGAAAAGCTAGTGAGGATTGAGACCCAAATAGCTGAATTTAACGTTTGACTCTAAAATAGTGATCCGAACACAGATTTACACAGGGACGTCTATGATTCTCAATATCTTTGGCTACTGTATAATTTTTTCAAATATCATACTCTACAGTATTGTATACAGTATACATTTTAAAAAGTATATATTTTACAGTAAACTCGGGTTTATCACTGGTGAGACCATCTCTTCAAAATGGCAGGTGAGGAAGTTTAGCAATCTCACTGCACTAGTTTGAAATGCCTATTTAGATCTTGGACCTGCAGTGATACTGAAGCTCTTAATATCCCATGTAAATAGAAGATTCCCTTTCATTCTGTATTTTAGTTTCTTCCTCTCAGTGTATCAGGAAACCTATGGGGAAGATCCGAAAGTGTAGCACTAAATCATCCAAAGAGTACAGAAAGAGAAAACACTACTAAGGAGATTGGACGCTATCCAATACCCAAGAAGACGGATTTGCCATATGATATAGTAGAGCTCATGGAGGAAATGGAAGTAAAGGTAAAAATATCTTAGTGGAACAATCCTGCCTATGCTAATTTTCTTATTGTGGGACTGTATATTTCTTATCTTGCGTAACACTTTCCCCCCTTTGGCTCTGATACCTATTATGGCTGGTTTTTAGCAAGACATAAAAATATAAAAATTCTGATTAAACATTGTCTGAATTTGGTACTCTCATTAATGAATTAAATGATGCATCTTGGGCTAGAACTTAGATGATATTGCGTGCTTGCAAAGTCATCAAGCCATCAATCATTCTTCAAGAACTATATATCTCCTGTTCTTCTCACTTTCTAGAATAACAAAAGCCACCAGGATGACTAAACATCTGTTGAACTATATTGGATCTTAGGGCTATTGATTGGAAGAAATAATACAGTATTTGATACACTTTTTTAAAAAGTTGGATTGATAGCAGATAATTTTATTATTCCATGTAGCTAAGTGTGGTTAATGTGGTGCTTTTGATTCTTGCCTGCTAGCAACCTTTCAATTGGAAAGGACAAGACTTGAAAACCAGAGATCTTCTTCTAGAAAAATATATATTTTCCAATGAGCCATTATTCTTCTCCATTAACATCACTCTTTGACACTCCACCACAGGTAGTCCTTGATTAAACCATTCATTTAGCAACCATTGGCACTGAAAAAAATTAGTTATGACCTGTCCTCATGCTTACAACAGCTGCTGCCTCCCCTCAGTCACATGATCAAAATTCAAGCACTAGGCAACAGCCATCTACTTATGTTGGTTGCAGCAATACAGGGTCATGTGATCACTGCTTGCAACCTTCCCAACCAGCTTCTGACATACAAAGTCAGTGGGGCGAGCTTGATTTGTTTAATGACCATGTGATTCACGTAACAACAGCAATGATTTGCTTAATAACTGTGGCAAAAAAAGGTTGTAAAATAGGTTGCAACTCAGTTAACAGCCGTATTGCTTAGCAACAGAAATTCTGGTCCCAGCTGTCCTAAGTTGAGGACTACCTGTACATAATCCAAACTAATTCTGCCATGTAACTATATTATCTGTGAATTGAAATAATACGGATATTGGATAGCCTGTTGTATAAATGATGTCTGACTACTTTTTTCTTAATTCTCAGACTGGGTTTTTGCCCAATGTGTTTAAGGTTATGGCTCATCGGCCAGCAGAATTTAGGGCATTCTTTGCCTATTACAATGCCATCATGAACAAAGAGACAGGTAAGAATGCCCATCCTGCACTGACTGGATGGAAACTTTTTCCTGGTAAGAATCTCTTAAGTCACTTAGTGGCATTTAGTATTCCAGTATAGGTCCAATTTAAGAATTGGCTCAAGCTGTTTTTGACTATAGAACAGGAACCAGCCAATTACAATACTATCCATTAGATTTCATATCCCTGAAGAATCCCTAATTTGCAGTCAAAAAGTTATTATGAACTATTGTTTTATCAAACATGAGCGGTCTGGTGGCCTAGAGGTAGAGCTCTTGCCTCACAATCAGAAGGCTATGAGCTTGATCCCAGGTAGAGACAGATATTTCTCTCTGTGGGCACACTGAGATAACATCTGCTGAACAAAACTCCTCATTGGCAACAGGAAGGGCATCTGGCCATTAAAACACTCTGCTTGCACCATTCAGTTGCCCAGACTCTACCCCGCAAGGGATTATGGGATTGTTAACCAAAGTTGATGATTATTATATCAAACATGGTTTTCCAGTCATTCTTGAAACAAGATTGATGATGATGATGAGCTTTCAATGAAAATAAAAGGAGGTCTCATAGAATTTCACAATATGTAGCAAAGAATGGTTTATAGATTGTCCTCAACTTACGTCCACAATTAAGCCCAAAATTTCTGCAGTTAAGTGAGACATTTGTTAAATGAGTTTTCCCCCTTTTACGACCTTTCTTGTCACGGTTGTTAAGTGAATCTGGCTTCCCCATTGATTTTGCTTGTCAAAAGGGGATCACATGACCCTGTGACATAGCAATAGTCGTAAGTATGATCCAGTTGCCAAGCATCTGAATTTTGATCACATGATCATGGGGACATTTCAAAGGTCATAACTGTGAAAACTGGTCATAAGTGACTTTTTTTCAGTGCCATTGTAACTTGGAGCGGTCACTAAACAAACTGTTGTAAATTGAAGACTATCTGTATTTATTTTAAAAGCTAGCCCTTAAAATGTGAATATGTTCGTGCAGATTATTGCAGTGGTGATTCAGTTATTGGTGCATTGGGAAAATTGTAGTTTTAGTTCTGATTATTTGAGATCCAAAATTATTTGTTGTATGCATTGGTCGTGCAGATTATGGACTGTGCTACAAGATTTTTATGAATGTGTAGTAGCTGTTAGGATTTAATTAGGGCAACTGCCAGACTCTTGACACAGTATATATTTGGATAGTATTATTTTTTCAAGTTGAATAATAAAAAGCCATCAGTCTCATTTTAGGGGCTATTTGCCTTCTTAGCAAAAGATAACGGTATTAAATATAGAAGGTTTAACTTCTATTTGAAGTTGCTTGCCTGCAATCACATGATAACATATCAAGCATGGATTGAAATTGTCAAATTATGGCAGTAAAGCAAGTCCAGGATAATTCCTATTAATTTACAGTCGTAATACTTGCTTTGGGGAATAAGCCCTTAGGCAGCTATAGAAATAAGATTCATCTTTCTCCCATAGGAAACCTAAGCAAGGCTGATAAAGAACTCATTATTGTGGCTACCAGTATTGTCAACAAGTGTCCCTACTGTGTAATTGCACATAGTGCCTTACATCGCATCTACTCCAAGAAACCAACTTTGGCAGATCAGGTCAGACCTAAGTTTATTTTTCTTTCTGTGTGGGTTTGATTTCTGTTCTGCTTTAAATAGCATATAAGCATGGTTAAGTACATGCAGTAGCTTGGAATCTTTGTGGGAAAAGTGGAAGGAATGCGTGAAAGTAACTTTTAAATTCACACGCCAGTTTTCCACAGTTGTGTTGTTTCACAACTGTATTATTCTTAGCAGTTTTGTCCTTAATTGAATTCCATTTGAAGAATATGGTTGTAAGAAGATTACGTAGCACCTGTCCTGTAAGAAATTGCAATTGAGATAAAATCTTGAAAGATTTTCAAAGAAGGCCGGATAACAATTACAGATTAGTTCTAAATGAGATTCTGTTAAAATGAAAGTAAAGTAAATTCATCCATTTCTAAAGACTGCAGAAGTTAATTTAGCCCTCCAATCTGTCGGTTATTAAAAATCAAGCAAAGCAGGCAGGCAGATTGAGTTGCTCACAGAATCACAGATTCACTTAGAGATCTATCTTTCTGCAGTCTGCTATCTGGGTCTGCACTGAAAAATAGAAACAGAAGGAAGGAAGGTTCAGCTCTGCTTTTAGATTAGCTAGAAAGCAAGAAATCCAATGATTTCCTGCTTTCTAGCTAATCTAAATCTCCCGGCAGAGTAGAACAGCTGATGGTCGGGGGGGAAAAGAAAAAATCGCAACTTAGCAGGCAAGTTTGCCAGCTAAGGAGTGAATGGATGGGGAGGGGAGGGGAGGGGCCAGCCAGTGGCGTGATTTGCCAGTTCTCCGAACTGGGCAGAATCATAATAATCAATTTTATACAACTGGTCCGACCAGTAGAATCCCACCCCTGGATATACTGTTACGAATATCCTGTATTGTGTTATAGTTTGCGTTCATAAATATTCCTCATTCTTTGTTCTAAAGATATTGATTTCTTTGACACAAGCTGATCTGGGCCGTGCAGGCTAAAAGATCTCACATTTAACCCTAAATTAACCCAAATGGAAGTATGTAATTTCTTATGGCTTTGTTTTGTGTTTAGGTGGCCGTGAATTGGAAACTGGCTGATCTAAGTGATCGGGAAATGGCCATCCTTGAGTTTGCCCTTGCTGTTTGCAGAGCAGATAATATAACAGAAGAGCACTTTCAAAAACTGGAGGCACATGGATTTGACCGAGAAGATGCCTGGGACATAGGCTCCATTTCAGCCTTTTTTGCCATGTCAAATCGCTTAGCTCACTTCATAGATCTGCATCCCAACCCAGAATTCTATATCATGGGAAGAATACCAAGAGAGAAAAACCCAGTTCCTCCCAATAAAACTTGTTGATATCCTAATCTGTGCAAACACTGAGGTCAAGCTTGACTAATTACTGAATTACAAAAATGGATCCGTTTTAGATGCAGTGAAAAGAGAATCAAACTTTTGATTGTACAATACTTCTGAAATGATTTCCAAGTACATCTCAATTGGATTGAGTTTCTTTAAAAGAAAAAGTGAGATCAGATACTAGTAGTTCAGTTTCTTTTGGTCATAACTAAAGATATGATTGGAAGTAAGAACCTCGTATCTTTTATTTCTATATAGCTAACTAAATAATAAGACCTTTTTATTCAGACATTGGAAAAGACAATTCTCATTTCCTCTAAAGTACTGGCAAGCATGTTTGATGTCTAAAGGCTTAGGTTTTTGCACTGGATCAGGAATCTTTTTTTTTAATTATTTTAATGAGCTTTATAATGTAATTATATTTCTTCTCCATGGATTTAACAATGCTTTCATACATTTGTAAATTTCAGCTTTTTTATCCTTTGATTAAAAAGGTCATGTAAACAACTGAAAAATGAAAGGTATTAAACAGTTACAATAAATTAATATATGTTTTTGCTATTTTTTGCTATGTATTTTATTGTATTTAGTTTGCTCTTTGTAAAATGTCTTAAATTATAATGGTGTGACAGATTTCCCGATGCTGATATCTCAGAGCCCTGATACATATTTGTATATTAGATTCAAGCAAAGATGAAAAAGCAATTACAGTATTTTTTTTAACTGAAGGAATACAGTATGTTGTTGGCTCAAGACTGATATGCATTGAAATTCTAGTCTTGCTGTAAACATACCTCCTTTAATCCTAATGTTTGAAAGCTCATTTTGTTAGCTTGGTAAATTAGTTGGGTCTGTAATATTAGAATTAGAATTATTTTATTGGCCAAGTGTGACTGGACACACAAGGAATTTGTCTTGGTGCAAATGCTCTCTGTAAAAGAAAAGATACATTCGTCAAGAGTATTTGTTCATTATAGTAAGGTAAGAGTAACTACAGGGAATCTGTGTCCAAAATATATTATATTCATTCCAAATCTAACTTTAATACTCATTAAATATCATTCAAATGAGTATTCTCTGCATGGATGAGAAGCTCTTTAATCTGGAAATGCAGAAACAAAAAATGCACAAATATATTCTATGCTTCTTTCATTGATTCAATCCTATTTTGCTGCAGGCTGCCATGACCAGTTTTTAATCATTAATCATTTTAATCATTAATTCCATAGTGATCGATAAAATAGTGATCCAATATAAAGCAAAACTAGTGGCCTAGAAAGCTTACTGACCCACTTTTCAAAATCATTAATTGGTTCTTATTAGTTCATCCAGCTATGACTGTACTACAAATTCTTCAAAAACCAACCATGAAATCCCACAAACATTAGATAAGTAATGAGTCATAATGCTTTTTACAAATGTGTATGGGAATGTACATCTGAAAAAAATGGAAGTTCTAATGCAGGATGGAATCTGAATAAGAACAGATCTACCAAAAACAGTCTCTGGTCATTGTAGAGACATTTCATTGAGCACAGGTTCATGGCCTGCTCAAATAGCTGAGGACACCATAGATCACTTTAATCGTGGTTGTTGAATCAAGGACAGGTGTCTATGGAGATTCTCAATCACTTAGGTCATGGTTGTTCAAAAGGTGGTTTTTCAAGACACAACCGGACTTTCTTTGCTTTTCCTTGAAGATGTTTCACTTCTCATCCAAGAAGCTTCTTCAGCTCTGAGTAAAGAACGAACCTTTACCCTCATCCTATACCCAAGCTACAAATATTCCCCACTATTGCATAACCATGTCTCTCCAATATTCTGTTCAATCTTTCCAGGTGGACTGTGATTCGTCAGAACCAACACTCAGAACAATGTGAATGGGATATGCCAGGTATGGCATGCTTCTCCCTTTTTCCTTTAAAGGAAGTCTTGGCTTTGAGAAGAAATATCCATCTGGTTCAGTTCCAAGCTGGGAGAAAGACACTGGAAACATGGAGGCTGATTGGAAAAATGGCTTATTGATAAAGCAGAACCATATGGGTTTGTGGTTCTGGGCAGCTGATAAACTGAAGTTGAGAGTGGAGTTTTTTTTTATACCTTCTTTGGGCTTTGCACTTGAACTTCCTGTTCCTGTGCAAAGAACATGTATTCTATTGGCTGTTGTCAGATTCCTATGGGATCATGTAGGGGTTATGTGGGATCATAGCTGGCTCTAGGGGCAAAGGAGGAAACACCAAATCCTAGGTGTTTGTCTGAGCTCCTGGTTTGGTTGAAGTTTGGACTCCCCTGAATGGTGTAATGAAGGGGCTTGTGTTCTGAAAGGGTGTTCGGCAATTCCTATTGTGGCTTAACGGCTTTCATCCTGTTTTGGATCTTGAGTGAGAGTTAATTCTACCATTCTGCCTTTGTTTAGACTTTGCTGCAGGGAGTTTCAAAATATCCTGTCTTGAATGGATTTCTGCCTGCAGTATTTGCTTTGCATATGAATAGAGCTATCTAGAAAACCGTCTTTCTTTTTCAATAAGCTCTTTATCTCATAAGTGCTGACATCTGCTGTGGGCTATTAAGAAAAGAGGGGGTTGCTTTCTGCCTCTAAAAAAATGTGTTTCTCCATTTCTTTGGGGAAATAGAATATTCTGCTTTTTTAATACTTCTTAAAACATTTCATTCTTCTAGGAGAGGGGTGGATGCTGATGAGTGGGTGCTAACTTTCTACACGTGTATACTTGTACCACCCAGTGTTCCTGGGTGAGTTTAAGGATGGTTAACAATCCCTCCTGGTATATTTATTGTCACAAACCCAGTTTTTATGACAAGTATTCTCAGATTATTTGTGAAAGACTGGATTTCTAATTATTCTCCAAAGCACCATAGGGCAGGACAAGGAATAATGGTTGGAAACTGATAAAAGAATAATTAAGGAATTAGGGAGAAACTTTCTAATAGTAAGGACAATTAACCAATGGAACAGCTTGCCTTCAGAAATTTCCATCACTGGAGGTTTTAAAGAAGAGACTGGACGGTCACTTGTCTGAGATTGTATAATTCTATACATATACATATACATGCATAAGCACACCAACATGCCTACCGTCCCTGTCCTATTGTTTCTTTTATTTTTCTTATATGGACCCATTTCATGTATTCATAACTATGTATATACTTATACCTATTATCTTGTAAGCAATTGACAAATCAAATAAATAAATAAAATAAATTCTCCTGCTTGAGCAGGGGGCTGGACTAGAAGACCTCCAAGATCTCTTCCAGCTCTATTCTATTCTAATCTAGAGAGACTAAGTAACATATTGCTGGCTTCCTCTCGAGCACCGATGATGTTACCTAGTTGGGTAATCTTCAAGAAAACAACCAGCTTAGAGAGCCTCAAGGATCCCACAGTTCAACCAAGAGCTACAGCTATTCTCCCCTATTGGTTCCTCCCACTAATTTGACAAGATACTGTAGTAGGCAGGGTAGACAAGACATCAATTCGCGTTTGGATTTTTGAGACTGACGGAACCCCGCTAGCAACCCTGCATCTCTGAGCACAAACTCTGCTGAAAGCAGCCATTAATCCTACCTAACCCCGCTGAAAATGACATTTGATTCCTGAAATTCTGAAACGAAACCAGAGGTTTTCCAGTTTGTTTAAAAACGCCCGGCCGTTCAAAGCCCAGTATGAGCGCGCTTCCCCAAAGCGGGGGCGGGGAACATCCCTTCGGGCGGCCGCTTCGCGACGCTCTCGAGTTTGCGCCCGGTGCGATTTCTTTGGTGCTCACCGCACCGGAAGTGGTGGGGAGCCGAAGGCCCGGGGGTGGGTGGGGAATGGTGGTAGTGGTGGCGCTGCTGCTGCTGCTTGTCGTGGCGGCGGGGCCGGGCTCGGGATGAGCTGGAAGGCGCGGTGGGGCCCCACCCCAGAGCGGTCGCCCCCGGGCGACGGCGACCAGTCGCCGCCCCCTTCGAGCTCACCACCCCGGGAGATGTCACCGAAGTCGCCCCCGGCTTCTTTTACTTCCACCGCCCCGGTCTCGGCTCCAGGCGGGGGGCTTTTCTCTTGGGTGCGGGAACGGGGCTTGGGCCATGGGGGCCGCTGCGTGGAGCCGGCGAGGGACACTTTCCGGGCCATGACGAGGCTCTACGGTGCTATTCAGCCCGCCGATTCGGTGTCCCCCATCACCCGCACCCACGGCGCCGTTTTCAACCTGGAGTACTCCCCTGGCGGGTAAGGAGGAAGAGAAGGGATGCTCGGAGTCGCTTTCGGGGGGGGGGCGCTCCACCTCCTCGGTGGTGTGGCTGCTCGCACCTCGTAGGGCGCGAGAGGTCTCCGTTTAGTGGCGGCTTCGCGGTACATTTGTTTTGCAGTTTAAGCTGCAGGTTGAATTATGTCCACGCTTGCAACGAAGAATTGTGTCTCCATTTTTATTCCTATACTTGTTCCCCACCCCCCGGATTTAGGACAGTGTAGTAGATGTTGCATCCCGTCCCTGCTCCCCCCTATACAGACACACCCCCGGTGGCTGTAGTTTGCCCGTAAAGTTATGAGGACATACTGTGATTGGGTAAGCAACTGCACAAGGCCGGTGAAGTGTTTGCAAATAGGGAAATAGGGACAGGGTAAGCAACAAATAAGATAAGAATGGATGTGTCAGTTAGGGGTCAGAAGCCACTTGGTGTAATGAGAAAAATATGCGGTTTACTTATTTCAAATATCTCAAGATCATGAGAGCAGTTCCATTAGTGTCAACTAATGTTAATTTGCTGTGTTTTGATGCTGTCACCTACAAACAGAAGCTTTTGCGCCTTTTTTTGTGTGTAACTCTGTTTCCTATCCTTAAGTTCTTTTTAAAGATGAATGTATGATTTAAATGGCACAAAAGATCCACATTTTAAAAAGAAATATTCTCGTGATTGATTGGGATATTGCATTGTGCTGCTCCAAGGGAAAACTGCAACATTTTTTGTTGTACTGCATTTATTCTAAGATCAGAGGAAACGAAAGTAGGAAAAGTATAACTTCTGAATAATTATTTGTTTTTGTCTCCTGATAACTGCCTGGAGAAGTCTTTGCAGTTTTCTTGGCAAGATTTCAGAAGTGATTTGCTACAGAAATTTTGGTTTCGATTGTGGTCATAAGTTAAAGATTTATCGGTTTTTGCATTGAAGAACGTAAACTGGTGTTGCAGAATATAGCTTGGTTTAGCATAAAGTGAAATCTATTTCTCAGAGACCCTCATTATTTTAAATACTGTAACAAGTTAATCTCCAAATTACATTTTTGTGTATATCCAGATTAATACACTTTACAATTTCTATTTGGTTTTTTTAATCTTTTTGTTCTTGGATTAAGATGATGCCGGTATATTTCATATAATACATTGCAACAAACAATTTTTTTATTACAGGTAGTCCTCGATTTACAACAGTTCATTTAGTGAGCATTTAAAGTTATAACAGCACTGGAAAAAAAGTCATTTTTGACCGTTTTTCACACTTTCGACCTTTGTAGCATCCCTGTGGTCAAGTGATCAAAATTCAGAAGCTTGGCAACTGACTTATTCTTTTGACGGTTGCTGTTTCCCAAGGTCATGTAATCATCTTTTGCAACCTTTGGTCAAGCAAATTCAATGTTCTTTATTCTCAGCTAAATAATATATGCTGGCTGTAGTCCAGATATTAAGCTGTGAAAAGTATTTGAAAGGGATGCTTCTGTAAAATGTCTTGGTGTGAGTGAAGCACTCCTCAAAATGTAAAGGTGGTTCCATACTTTGAAAGGCCCATTTGCTTGTTTCAGAGGCTGTTCCAGTTGACTGTATATGCATGTCTATGCATGG